TTTTTTCTTTTTTTCCTTGCATTTAAGGAGGCTGGTAATGATGTTGCTTTCAGTTCTGTAATTGACACTGTCACCATTGATACGTGTGAGGACCAGCCAGATGCAGTCATTCTGTTAAACGACAGTGATCCATCAGTTGCATCATCTTTCATTGCCATGATTCCTGCCAGCTCTGTTATGATGATGTCAAATGATGATGCACCTCAAGCCTCTGGTTCCCAGTTGGATGAGGGAAGTTCTAGGAGTCTCATGGACAACAACAGGTAAAAATCAAAAATATCCAGGGAGTGGACTTTGGTAAGCTTTGTCAGTCCATAAAATGCTCTTGATGATATTAGACGAATATTGTGTCAGATAAAAATTGTTGTGCTAAGGCTCAAACTTACCGTTTAAGGGAGTGGCAATATGCAGCACTCTTCGAAAGTGATGTCAGTGACAGCGAAAGTATACCTTTCTCACATGAAATAGAGGACATTGTGTCCACTTCTTCAGAGGAAAGGTAAGAATGATGTTTTTCTGACAATTTAGCAGTGGTCGCATAGATCCCCTGTGACAAGGGGTGCCTTATCTGACACGCATTTCAGGCCTTTGAGCATTTTACTAAGGAGTTGATGAGTCTAAAGGGAAGGTGTCCAAAATGTTTTTTTAATTATTTTCTTATTATACAATATACAAATAATATACTTATTATATTTTCTTATTATACTGTGTCCTTACTGTAATAGTGTCTTCCATTTTTTTAACAGAGACATTACCGGGATTTTAGAAAACCTGGCAGAGAGAATTGATGACAGCAGAGCATCCTATTTTAATATTAGTAGGAAACATATCTGGGAAAGTGCAAGACTTACATTGTCCATGAAGTCATTTTGCCCATTGAAGAGGATCGATGTCAAATTCATGGATGACCTGGGGACAAGTGAGGGAGCAATCGATTCTGGTGGGCCAAGGAGGGAGTTTCTCACTCTGCTTATGGAACACCTCAAACAGGGTGCATTATTTGTTGGCCCTGATGAAGCTAAATTCCTGAATTTCAACAGTAAATGTAAATAAGCAAGCACTACATATTGCTGAATAAACATGCACTGTCACATTGAAGTGTATTTTAATAATTTCTTAAGGCTTGTTTTGAATCTGATAATCAATATTTAAAATTCTGTGTCTAAAATCTTTTTATTTCCAGCAATGCAGAATGATGATTACTTCACTGCTGGTGTTGCCATTGCCCTCTCAGTTGTCCACGGGGGACCAGGACCACAGTTCCTTTCACCAAGCCTCTTTAGAGCACTGACGACTAGCCCTGAGGCCACAGTCATTTCTGTTGAAGAGATTACAGACCCAGAGCTTTGCATCAACTTGCAGAGAGTAAGCTCTCTCATAAGTTTTTTGTACCAAGTTGTATTAATTGCTTGAATATTCTCTTAATACTCTGCTTCCTCATTTTAGTTAGCTTCTGGGGATTATGATGCCTTCAACAACATTGAGACCATCGTAGATATGGCTGGGACATTTGCAGTTATCAACGACCCTCAAACAGCCAGGAAGGTTGCCTTAGACACTGCACACTGGTACTGTCTTGGTCGCAGTCGGTCTGCATTTGAGAGGTTTGTATTTCTTGGAAATAAAATGTTATGGATTATATTTTATAATGCACTGTAACTAACAGGGCTTTTTTTTTTTTAAAAGCAATCAGTTCACTCGGTATTTCAACGTTTCTGTTCCTATTACCATTCCAAACCCGGTTTCAGTAGGAAAAAAAATACAGGTCAATAACATTATTTTAAAAAAATGTCTTTGCCTATAATAATAATATTATAATAATAATAATAAGTTTTGCTTAGTCATAGCCAATAGAGCATAATCTTTTCTAGATTTAGACCAAATGTATCAAACGAAAGAAAAAACAAATGTCAACGCTTTTTTTTTTTT